AGCATCCGTAGCTTTGTTCGTTCAGGAGGGTACTAACTCGAATGGAGGAACAAAAATTAAACAGGTCCAAGAAGTGTTGGTCACGTGGGTCTGATCTGCCGTACACATGGCAAACGCGGTATGTTCGCGTTTTCAAATTTTCTAAAGCACAACTCTGGCTCAGCTACGCGATATAAGCCCCTTGGTACATAGTCGGCATAATTAATATGAAGCTATGTCGTTTGAGAAAGGCACATAGGCCATGAAGTTACTTATTTCGAAGCGCTTAAAGTAGCCTTCCTTGTGCAAACCAGTCACAGCTTTCATAGTAACACAGTTCGGTCAGGAGTGTGAAGATCATAGTACCAGAGCTCAAGACAGCTGAGGATCCGTTTATTAATAGCACTAGAGATCACTATCTACTTTCAGGGAAATGAGGATATGTATCTTCATGTCCTTTTGATGCATTTGAGCATCCAGATAAGATAGAAATACCTCGTAGTTATGAGCTTATAGAAGTGACACAAGCAGGCAGTTTAGTTGATAACTTCAAGCCCCTAACCTTCCAGTATTGCTCAATAAGTATTGAACACACTTATCCTATCCTATCCTATCCTCATTCGTGATCATGTGCATGAAAAACGTGGACGATCTGCCCAACTTCCTTCACATCATGAACACGGGCTCCAGGCTTTCCCTCGAACCCAAAAGTCATAACCCCCTTTTAACAGCATTCAGGACCATGCAAGAATTACATATGAACGAACGAGAATATGTTTAGAGGAGCCGTGAACGTACCAGGCTTTCACTGCACTCTTTTTCTCTGCATTGGCCATGATTTCTGGAATAAAGATGAAGACTCTGAGCTCGCTCTTCATACCTTTGAGCCGAAAAACGTCGGCCTCCGGCCGCACTGTGAAAAGAAGACTTATGCATCGTGGGTATCCGACGGTGACCAGTCGTAAAGGGACGATGAGGACTGGTGACCAGTGAGTGTCCTGTCGGATTAACTAGTTATCCAGAAGATCTCAACCGCATAGAAATAATTTTGGCTGTGGGCCTGCCAAAATGAATGGCTGTGAAACTCGGAGCGATACGGGGCTCGGGAGTAGTTCTCACGTGCTGGCAGTGGGAAAATGACAGGTGTTACCAACCTCGTCGAGCTATGCTTACTTCCTTCCCATTGCAATGTCATCACTTCTGGCGCTTCCGAATGAAATCCTCGAGCAAATAGTGGTTCAGTGTGCCTACGAAAGGTCACTCGTGTCTATTTCTTTCCTATCCCAAACATGCGCTGCTCTTCGAAATCTCATATACGATTCCTCGGATACAATGCTGTGGAAGGAGGTCTACCTTTCTATGTTGGACTACCCTTGGAGTACTAGGAATATCATTTCAAAGTTTTTGGAAATGCCTACGCGAAATGATTTTGATTGGAAAGGGAAATTTATCGCCGCTATGTTATTGCGGAAGGAATTGAAGGGTTCAAACCCTCAGCTTCTCGAGGCGCGTCGATTATTCTATTGACTCTTTTCTCATTCTCATATATCAACCGATTTAGAATCTTGATGCGCACATGAAGATGCTTTCTGAATTAGCAAACATACCACTCCCAGTACTACCTAACACACATCTTTGTACCTCTTCCAACGCTGTCTGGTTGGACAAGCTTTTTATCAATGGATTCCCCGAGGTTTTGGTTCATAGACTCATTGGAAAATCACCTACCTCCATTTCTTCTGATAGTGACCCCCCGGAATCCCAGTCTTTAATCCTCTCCCCTGAATGGGAGTTTAATCGCGGCCAGCGATTTTACGAACTCTTCCTGAAGATCGGTTTCCGTCCATACACTCCTCCTAACGGTCTTCATGCCGATGCTCATATCAACCCGGGAAAGCAACGAGCTCTTGCTCGAACTGTTGCTCGTCACCGAGTCTACAACATGTTATATCCGTCCAGAGCAAGATGCTGGGGGCCTTATCTCCCGTATGAGTCATCTTCGGTTGACTCTAATCAACCTCCCGAACCTCACCTACTTATTCCCGACTATCCCTTCCTATCTGCTGCTCGTATGGTGGTGGAAACAGACCTGCGAGAAAGTCTTCAAGTAGACCCAGACGAGATGAGTCTGTTTTGGGACTCGGGTCAAGTCTGGCCGTTATTCACATACGAGTTCGCGAGAAGAGATATATACGAGCTGGTACATCGTATAGACGGGAAGATTAATGTAGGCGACGAAGCATCCACTAGAGGACTTGACGCGTTGAGGATGGGGTCGGCACCCGGATTCTGGGGTAATAAGGAGACGAGAGAAATATGGCTGAGAACGAGTAGTGATCCGGAAAATGAATCATCTTTAATCGATGGATGGGACTGGGCTGGCGTTGAAGGAACCTGGGCGTGCGTGACATCAGTTCTGATTTTCTTCCTCTCCACTAAACGAACCCAATTTTCTGTCAGTCGCGCAGTATGTTGGATGGACTATCGAGAATTACTTTGTGTGTACTCTTTGCCCTTCTTGCTATCTCGCCTCACAATTTCTCTGCAGATCACAGTGTGCGTTCCTTGATGCAAGGTGAACCAAAACACCAAACTCATGGCAATAAAATAGCTAAGCAACATTCACCCACTCTCGCCTCCAGATCAACTCAATCATAATATGCGTGAAACCTGTCGGATTTCACCAATGACATTTCGCATAACCGGGTATTCTCGCGTTTCTCCTCGGTCGTCCACACTTATGTCTTCTAATGATGACAAAAACGAAGACAAATTGATGGATTCTTTGGTCTATGCTTTGCCCATTATTCACTTCTCTGACGATAAACCTGGAATCAAGTCTAACCGAACAATCAGAGGAACAGCTAGAATGATTGGTGATGGTGTGGTTCGATGGAGTCTAGTATGTAATTATTCACGTTCTCTTTTTCTTTCATACATGTATTTGTTTTTGGATTCTAGATTAGCAGGGATAACATCGAGGAACAGGATGATTGGGCTCTAGAAGCTATACAGATTGGCGGAATTGGATCTGCTCTAGGAGCAGTAGGCATGTGGACCGGTGTAGGTCATGACAGAGGTGACCCTCTTGGTAAGTATTTGCCCCTTGCTTCCACGGACTTGTTTACTCGCTGCGATTACTGACCACCTCTTTCATAGGACCTATGTGGATGTGGAGGGTAGAATGAGAGTGGAGTTATATCTCGGTATGTGAAAGCTTGTCAAATAGCAATGAAACTGGGATTTCTTGTATATACGTAGATTATAGAAACAGATTTCTGAATATTCTTTGTTATGCAGGACGCTGGTGTTGATTGCACTCAGTCGAAGGTAACATTGCTGGTAAGAATACCGTCCTTGACAGCTTGCCACGATTTACGCGAAGAAATATCTTTCCACCAACTATGTGCAATATCATCAGCGCTCTGCGCTTTCAAAGGGTTAGGGAGCGTACCGAGCAATGTTTGATCCTTTGCTAGTCAAAAGATCACTTCCCCCCTGGGCTAATAAGGCCCCGTACGGAAGGTGGAACAGATCCACCAGAGTTATTTCCTAACAAAATAGACATAAGTTCCTGTTTATCGCGTAAAATCGGAAGATACTTACATTTCCAGCCAGGTACTTCTGTTTCGACAGGATTCTTTCATAGCCGTCAAGCTTATCGGAAAGTGCTTTGATAGCTTCTTCGTATCGGGCCTCGTCCTTTGGCTGTTTAGCATAGCTAGTATGACAAGTCACCGGTGGCGTCCTGGAATCACTATGATTAATCACTCACAGTGGCTTCAAAACCGCCTCATGGACGGCTTTACCCGCATGCGTATCAAAGTTTGAGGTTTCGATCGAAGCAGCTTGTTCGAATAGAGCAGTCGCTTTGAGGTCCGTGTAAGATGGTACGAGCTTTGGGCCTCGATTCGGATACTTGGCTTCAAGATAGCGGCATATAGCACGCGATTCATAGAGAATGAAACCGTCATCATCCTAGAATAGTGTCATGTTGATATTCAACCGAGAGTACGAAGTACTCACAATGTAAGGCACGTTACCAAATGGGTGTTTCTCCAGGTAAGCAGAGCTTTTATGCTCCCGATTAGCTACATCGACGCTGACCAATTCATATGAGATCTTTTTTTCATACAGCACTGTTGCAACACGTTGACCGCAGGTAGCTCCGGGAAAAGTGTAAAACTTTAGGACCATTGTAACAAGGCTGAAGGTAATTCGACCTGGAGGATGAGATCGATGAGGCTCTAAACATCTGGCAGAATTCTCGTTTTAAATATTGACCAACCTGGTATTCATCTACGCCATTGGGATAAGAGAGGTACTACGTATCTGTAATCAGGGAAATCATGACAATTCTTCATGACAACGTTTTGAGATGTCATTGTAAGTTTTTTCTCGATCAATTCTATCTATATTCATGTGAAGGAGATTTTTGGCGTCTCTGCATGAATCAATTCTCGTCATCTTCCTCCAAGCCAAAGTGCTCATTTGTAAGCCCTTTGATTTCAGACTGTCAGCAGGTATAACTAGGTAATGCTACGCTCAAATCTTGCTTTGCTGATGACAAATTAACTAGTTTACCATCACTGAAGCACAGCTAGATCATATTTGCTTGCTAGAAGACGCACATCTTATTCAGCCTCAAAATGACGACGATTCTGATAATGATGTCCGCTAAAGTGCTACGGACTTTGAGAGAAGAGGTACAAGAAAGTGCAGAAATGGGCGAAGACAACCTTGAAGTCATTTTTCAGCAAAGCAAAATCGGAGCTTCGCTGATGGCATATGAGGCTCAAGAAGATTGAGTAGTAACAGGCGTCCTTGTGTTTTAACTCTTTTCCTCCCCGCTTCGGATGTTGCTGAAGACAGATATCATTTTTGATGTATGGATGACGTTATTCTATGGAACACTAAAATGTGTATCTTGAAAAGTGTCAGAGGATAACAAAGTACCTTATAAATCTGAGTTAAACGCCTTCCTCAGTGTTATTTACAAGACAAAAAGTTATCCAAGATTGTGGTAGGAGTGGGGATCGAACCCACGCGGTACTACCAGTGGGAATTTAAGTTTGGTACTTAAATCCACCGCCTTAACCACTCGGCCATCCTACCATGAAGGAGTACAATTTCTAGGAAGAACATCCCCTATTCAGTGACTACGTCACGAAGGACCGGAAGGACGTAAAAAACAATTCCTTTTTAACTATTTTTACATGAAATTTACGACCCGAGTCGCCATTAGAATTGCATTATACAGTACCTATTGTATCCGATTCATAAATCAAAATTTTGTCGCCACAACTCGTCTCATGAAATGGACTTTGATTCCAGACCGAGTTCCAGATTGCTTCAATTTACACTTATTTCTCCACGTCTTCTGGATCAGGACCGAAAGTAAGACGTAGAAGCTTCTGGCTGAGAATACTCTGATTCTTCGGCCTCAGATTCAGCACGTGAATATGTGGGGTAGTCGGTCGAGGTAGACATGAATACACCCTCTTGAGCTTTTGGCCGGCGAGGCTGCCTAGGCTTTGGGATGTATCCATGAATACGTTTTCGATGCCGAGTTAATGAGCCAGGATCCACAGTAGTAAAGTCGCAATCCGGACAACAGTTGGTTTTACTTTTAGTGCTAGAGCATCGAGGTAAGTGGCAAGCGAAAAAGTTGGCTGGGGGCATAATCGATACTTACTGAGTGCGGATATGTGTTTCAACATTTGATTTTTGCAAATTCTCAAAGCCACAGCCAGGATACGGACACCGATGCATTCTGTACACCTTTAATAGATCAATTTTATAGGACCATGCCTTCACAACCTACAGCTTGTCTTTGTCCTGAGAGTGCATTTTCATATGTCGTGGCATGTCGGTCCTATTCGCAATGACAGCACCACAAACCGTACATGTAGCCGAGTTATCCACGTCGCCGCTGCGTTTCTACTCGAACATATGAAGTCTCGATGACAGAGGTCATGGCAGAAAATACTTACTGCGCGAGGCATTTCAAATCTGAGAAAGGTGGAAGGAAGGGGAAAAGCAGGCGCCAAGCGACAAGTGACTGCTTTTATTGCCCTGGCGTAAACAAAGGAACAAAGTTTTCCAAGATTGATGATCGCTATCCACCTTAAGATTCCGAGCTCGGACTGTGATTCCAATTTCGCTATCTCCCGAGGACTCGCGAGACACTGCTTGGTCCTCCTGAAACGTGGCCTCATTTCGCTAGGAAGAATAAAAAGAATAGACCCAAATGCCGGAAAGAAGCGGATGACAAGACACTGGGCAATGCAATACGTACTCACATGGTCTAGTCGCTGATTGCCCAGGGGCTGATTGCGTACCACCTGGTTAAAGGTACCTGATGGAACAAAGAATTAGCGCATTGACTCGTGTGACTTACGGAAGTTGAAAGGCACCCGAATGTCTTCGCCCGCAGCGTGGACCGTTCGAGCCAAGGCTCTTTGCGGAGCTTGTTATTACTCAAAGAACATGTGAACACATTAATAAATGTTTGTACTTATGATAGGTGATTTTTATAGGCAGCAATTCGGAGAATCGCTGGCAAAGTGTAATCCTGTTTGCTTAAAGTAGGTGTACTATGATATAAAGAATGACGTGTTATATCACCATGAAAAATGAAACCTAGGTCTTCGTAGAGTGTTCGATGGGCGTCATTGGAGGCCTGGAGACGACAGCATTGCCGTTCTAATATCATTTGGTACCCCTCCTTGGTCTTCCAGACTAACCGCCCGGTGCTTTTGTAAAGCTGATTTTCTATCAAGGTTCATTTTCAACGTAGATAAAACTGACCGTTAATGTTTTGCTTAAAATGCACTTGTTATTTGATATAAGTGCCAAAAATACAACAGCAGGGCCTTGAATCCCGCTCCTTCTGCCATTATTGCACAATAGTACAAAAATAGCTTTCCTTGAAGAGTTATTTACAGGATCCAAAAAGGATCGCTAGTGTGAGTAGGCTCCGTATATCACGGCCCCTCTTACGAATGGGCTTTCTAGTAAACGATTCAGAAATAGGACAATATGAAGTCGAACCAGAAGGTACTGTTAATTAAAAAAATTTCGCCCATCCTGAATGAGCCTTTTCCAAGGATCTGAAATATCTTGAGCAAGGCGGCATTGCGAGTTATACCTGCCCTTGGGATGGAATGTTTTTGTTGTCCCTTTCCCCTTTTTAGCATCAGTATTTTAAACAATCTATTTAAAAGTTACAGTAAGTAGCACAACAGAAATTCAATGTCGGTTCAAACGAGTTTCCACGATTGATTATTACAGATCGTATAAACTGGTTTGCTAAATCCTGTATAGTTGGACGCTCTCAGTCAGGTTCTACTGAGTTGAACTAAATGTACTTGATGGACTCTTTCAAGTGATAGAATAGATCATCAGGTTATTATCATAATAATCCCGCGAGTACGTACATACGATAAAGATTCAAAGCAAATTGCCAAAGGAGGTCAAGCTAAGTAGAAATCAGAACGGGCAGAACACAGAGATAAGGTCCGAGCAATGTAAAAGTATGGCAGGCCTGATTCCATATGTTATTAATTCCGTACGTAGGCACCCAGAGAAAGGCACACCAGAGAAAGGTACCCAGAGAAAGGTCAGAAAGCCAATCCGACGTCAACGCCCTGGCCTCGGTCCCACATACAAACCCGTCTCTACGTCTGCGTCTTCCATTTTTACACTCGGACCATTCTCCATCCCAGCGAGACATGCATATCGATATTGCGGTCTACCCGCGCACTCCCGTTCTCAATTGGTACATGCGTATGCAAGTATCATTCACATTTGACAAGGAGCGGGTAATAAGTCGACCTTTCCTATCCCTACTTGTATCAATCGTAAGACCAGCTCGAGACAAAGACGGCGTAAAGGTGGTGTCGTCGTTACGATCTATGTCATGTTTCTTGCCCTTACGACCCGGAATTCATCAAGAGCTGTCCTCGGCCCCGTTTCTTCTTTTTTCTATATCGATCGGGTAGTCTCAAGGTCCCGGACCGACGCGCTTTCCGGCTCCGTGATGACTGGATTGACGACGGACGTTTAGCTGGAGGATTGGTGGATAGGCGAGAGAAGGCAGACCGCGGAATCGTTAAATGGGACTGACGGTTTTGGTCCACTTACATGGATGTGATAGGGAGGTTTGGAGGTTGGAGAGTGGATGGGATAAGGAGGATGATAGAGCGGGCGGCGCTGTTCGTTGGGATGTGGATTGTGGGGGTTTGTTTAAAATGTTGTCAGAACGCACTTAACGAACACGCACCCATATTAAGATGAACACTCGCAGTAGTACTTCACTTGCCCTTGTGAACCAAAGACATGGACTGTATCGAGGCAGATTCCACCTTGAGAAGGTGATGATAGACATAGAATTCGGTGGAGACAGACCTCACGGACAATGAGACGGAGCTGTGTAGAGCGTTGCTGTGGGTACGAATGCGGACGCTCTCTTTCTAGGAAATACACACACCGAGACTCGTACGCACATCTATATATAACCCGAGTTGAAGATGTACCGGTAGGGAGGTGAAGATAAAGATGAAGCACGCGAAGTGAGAGTGAATGGAGAAGAGCAACGATAAGTGATGGAGGAATGTGTGTATCTAGTTGGTGAGACATACGAGGCGGGTCTCGAGGTACTGATACTAATAGAAAGGAAGATAGGTCGCAGCTGGTAACAGCATCCTCTGGACGCCATCAGAAGTTGGAAGAACTTATGGTGTGCTGAGGAGCACGAACTTGGCATAACAATTGTGACGTGTTACATGGTGTGACACACTCCTATATCTTCACCAACCGCGCTGATTGCCTTTTGCCCGCTTGATTTGCCCGCTTTACAACTTCTATGCCTACGAGACCTTATTTATACTCTATCATGTGTGTAATACGTCCGCAGTCAGAGTATTTCTGAGTGGATCTACAGCGGACTTGAAAGTGAGCCGCGAGATCGTCTACATGAGATACATATCTCCGGGGATCCTATGTCCTTCTGGGTGCTCCCCGCAAACTGGCGCTCATACCATAAAACTATGTCGTGTATAGGCTCTTCCAAGATCAGGATGATGAAACGGTAACGGGGCCTCTATGACACCTTGACTACACGGCACAACACTTGGGGCAATCAATCATCAGCCTCGTTCTCCCAGATGATATCTTTGATACATGGCCATGGAAGCCGCACCCATCTCACTTGGATACAGCATCTATGCAACTTTTTCTGGCTCGGTTGATCTGGTAAAAATAAGACTGTTTTTCTTTGTAACTGAACTCCTGGAAAAATGAACACGAGTTGAAATAAGTATATTGACTCTGAGTGGTATGGTAAGTAAATCAAATCGCGAGTCATTGTCTTGCCCGGATTCTCTGAGTTGTACAAACCAATCAAGCTGGGTGAAAGGCAACCAGGCGTTTTCATGGCAAGCTGTCCCTGGAAGCCGGGCAAAGAAAACGGGATTTTTATGATGCAAATCAATCTACTGCGGTTGCTTTGAATCATGAAACTGTTCAAAAGACATCAAAGATATATCAACGAGAGAGATAAACTGAAAGGTTAGCAGATTCTCATGATGCTGAATTCACATGATGATGTGCTGTACCTATTGCAACGTATATTTACTACCAGGATTTAGAAACAGACAAATGTATTATGTGGCGGGAAACTGGTCCCAAACTCCCTTCATTTGAATAGCATGCGGGGTCATGAGGACCTGGTATTGAGTAGGTTTTTGTATTCTACACGGTATATAAGCCTCAGAAAATCACAGAATAACGCTCTGGACATGCAATCATCGGCCCCACTTCTCCCAGAGGATATCTTTCTGATACAAGTGTTTATTGTCGAAGCTGCGAGCAGCTCCCTGGCATATGGAATCTATGTGGTGTTTGCTGGTTTGACTGCTCATCTGCTTTTGTGAGTATTGTCAGTGACACAATGACGTGATTTTCAACGCAAACTTGATAGGAAAAGCAAATCTAGTCATTCCAAGCCTTGGAAAGTGTTATTCACACTGATGATAGTCATTTTCCTGCTTTTGACATTGGCAGAGGTCGCTCTCATTGTTGATGCCAATAATATGCATTTTGTTAGTTCTAAT